AAGCAAACCTATGTACGTAGAAGCATATAATACTTTTTTCGGGCACTTAAATATACTATGTGAATGAGGGAAATACTATTCACAGAAAAATGGTCTGTTTGCGTTTAATCTTACAACCGATCTCTTGTCACATTTTGCAGGTCATTGAAATTTACTAAAGAATGGTACAGTACGAATAGAAGTAAGCTTTGAGACAGCTCTCACAAAACCTATAGATGTGTTTCATATGCTAAATTTGACAACATATTGGAAATGGACTCAAATCGTCAAGTAGTTGTAGATTTCATCTAATAAAAATTCACACATCTTTTATTATGGACTCGTTGCAACTACGTATAGCTCTTTGCAGTATACATGCAGAGATGACCGGAGTATTACCTGTGGGTCAGTTAGCTTTCGTTTGGATGAGACCGTGTGCTCTCTTAGTTAACACCAATGAAAGTTCTAAGCCAGGCAAGTATTAAGTAGCTATATATGTTAGTATTGAAGGTCATAAAGTGTACTTTGAGAGCTATGGTCTGCGTCCTATGGTATCACATCACTGATTGATGACATTGATAAACTTAAAAGAAATCGTGTTACTTATTATTGGAATGTACAACAGCTCTAAAGTATAAATTTTAGAGATTTTGGAAATTACTGTATTGATTTTCTATTTTTCATGTCCAACAACTATTCCTTAGGCATATTTTATTCATTTTTTAAATTAGATACTCGCCAACGATGGAATAGCTGTAACCTTTTTTAATTGTATTACTAGGCATAAGAAATTTATAAATAATTGTATTGTAAGCAATATATGTACTAAAACTAAGTGTAATCATAGAATAGCCTATTTTTAAAATTTCAATGCTAACTCAAAGTCTGTGTTCTTTACTAATACATGTATTAAATAAATTCAAAATTGTTTTTATTTTAATAAACTTTCTCTTTACAGAATAATCTACGTTTTACACTTTAAAATTTAATAATTTTTACCTCTACAGCTGATAATTGAGGTACGCCTTAATCTTTCCTCTACTAGAAAAAAAAAATTAAAAAAAATAAAAATTACCGACCAAGCAATGTCGGTTAGCATTAAAACTTCCCTCTGCTAGAGAAAAAACATTTTTGTTACTATCCAAGCAATATTCAAACTACACGGAATATGGCTCGCCTTTTTCTGCTTTCCGCTTATTGGGTTATTTGTTCATCAGGTCACTTGACGTCTGCAAAAAAATTATGGTGACTGGTAAAGCAATGTCAGTAATTATATTTTAATAACACGTGAATTCCGGTTCCATTATTTACAAATTTTTGGGGTTCATGAGTCATTAGTTTGAACACCCCGTCTCTCGTGACAGGTGACGTCTTCACGGGCCCCGGGCCACGCTTTTGGTGCTAGCCGTATGACGTACCTCTATGAAACTGTCTGAAAAAGCTTTTCCTTACTTTTAAGGTATTTAGTATTAAAGTGCTTTTTCTTTTCTCCTTAACAAAACAACGTATATGTTAAAACGTTGTATTATCTGTCGTTGCTTTGTCCTAGATTTTTCCTTAATTAATATTTCAAGGTTTTTAACTTTTTGTGCATGCGTTAACTCAATAACACTTTTTTTAAGCAAAAATTAAACGTTTTTTATTACATTTGTGCCAACTGTGGTATAAAAAAATAAGAAACTTTGAATAAGGTCAATTTACAACATCAAATAAGATGAGAGTGAGTGGATTCAATTGTCTTTTGATTTACTGTTATTGGATGTACAGGAAAATATGTTAACTGATCTGATTGCAATCGCCTCGAATTGTTAGAAAGTTATGCAATTTGCTGAGTATGTACTTGAGAACTATATTGAAGCATTGTCGTTAAAATTTTCTCCAATACTGTGGGTGTAGACGTGAAATGAAATATTAACAATGACAAATAGACCCGAGTATTTTTATATTTAGTTCATGCGGTTATAAATGTTCTTATCATGTTGGTACTTGTCATATTAGATTTTGAAATGGTTTTGCGCCAGTTAGTCAGATGCAAGCTCTCATTTATCTACGTGCGCTTATAATTTTTCTTTATGTGAGTTTGTCATGTGCTTAAAATGTGCTTGTAATATGCGTATTTGATGAGTACTTTTTGACTATGTTACAAAGTTTTTGTGCTTTTGATTGTCTCGACATGTATCGGAAGTAAAGTGTTCGAAGTGTTCGAAGCATGTATGAACTTAAGTGTATCATAAATAAATGAAATTAAAACAGAGTTATTAATTGTTAAAAAAAAAAAATCTGTCGACAGTTGGAACCAAACTTAAGATTGCAAAACGATCATCAAAGATGCATAAGTTTAACTATCTTAGCTATTAAAAACTTTAGAGATAACATACTTTAAAATCACAAAAGCTTATTGATTACCTCTAGAGCTTGTTCTACAGTTTGGAGCAACTATAGTGATGATAAATAGTAAATTAGAGGTGATAACCATATTTTTATCCTTAAAAAATAGTTTAAACTTAATTTATTTTTAAATATGACTGGATTTCTTAATAATTATAAGTATCAATTTGGATATAGAGAACAAAGATGGGCGCCGGAGGAGCGCTGAAGTACAGATCGAGTGTTGGGAAGATTTTACTTCCGCTACAATTTGGATTGAAATAGCTTGGCTGGCGAAACAAGTAAGTAGAAGAGAACCTCTCGTATGAATCATTCGTGGCATCGCTGCGGTGTATATAATGCTTACTTTATTATTGCGAGACGCATTACGATTGTATACTACGATGAAATTCAAAGTTTTACCACCAACTGTTATTTCGAATCTTGATGCTATACTTTACATGGACTTTCCTCCCGCGCCAATAATAATAATAATAATAGTAATTTCAATTTTTTTTCTTTGTCGGCTGTTGTATGGTTTGAATTGAAATATAAAAGTAGCGCGATGTATTAATTATTAATAGACTCGAGCACACATTAGGCGCGTAGTCGTAACGTTTGAACAGGTGAGGGATCGTCGGTGTGGTGTAGGTACTTGCTCGTGAAAAATAAAAACATGGGCTCGACGCGTCGAAGACCAGCTGGGAAAACACCGGAGGAACGAAAACAGTGGAGGCTGTGCTACATTGTTGTAGATTCGTATACTTTCGTATGCACAATATTAATATTCGATCGAGGGTCCCGTTTCAGGCTCTCCTCGCGATGGAAAAAATGCGCGTGAGAAAATAACAACAAACAACGCGGATATGCGTATTGCGTAGTCGATATCGATTGCAATTTACCTGTTCCATCCCTGGGCAACGACTGTGTCCTTCTGGACGCGCCCGAGTGATTTTTGCACGTCTTGTGCGACATGCTGGCGAGCGAGCGAAAAATGCAAAATAAACTCCCACCGGGACGTCGGGCCCGCACAAATTGGGCATCGAAACGACGGCCAAGTCGAAAATGGTTTTGCCCTTACTCAGCTCTCGATGACACCGCGAGGGAGGATGTCCCCGCGTCGCGAGGCGCCTCCGTCCTTCGCTTCCAGCACGCTTTGGCCCATGGCACTCCCTATGTTCGCGCGTCAAAGGTAACAATTAGCGAAAACCACACTTCCCTGCGTGAGCGCCGATGTTACATTGCACGGGTGTATAATATACAATTGTACGTCACGCGTATGGATGATGGCTGGCCTCGCAAACCGGCACACACTTAATTTGCACTTGTATAGAAACTGCGCGCCGGGACGGGGGAAGGGCTAGTGGTTTCGTTGGAGTGAAGAGTAGGTACTCGATAAAGATGACAACAACAACAATTGCTCGCTCCGAGAGAGGCGTATAGGTACCGAAATTACTTTTGCGACGGAAATAACATTTCACGCGGCAAAACAAGCGCCGTCTATTTTCATCCGAGTCGTGTAAGTATTAAAACATTTTTCATCTCTTTCAACGTGAAAAATAAAAAGAAAAAACACACATGCGCACACAAAGCAATTTTGGTATATTATAATGTGTTTATGTATGTATGATATTCACGCGAGTTGGATGGATAGGTATGATGTACGGGCTGTTTTTATTGTCATTGAAACAATGAAAATCACCTTTAATCATACAGTTGGTACTTGGTTGGAAAGTCACACGAAACAAACTCGCACTACAAGAGTAAGTATAAAAGAAAAAAAGAACAAAAATAATAATAAAAAAAAAGCAGCAAATCACCAGCAGAAGAAGAAGAAGAAAAGGTCTTACTTTGGACGATGCGCAGCAGGGACGGAATCCTGGCTCGTATAAATATACTTATGCTTTGGGTACAAAGTGACAAAGAGCCAAGAGTAGGATAATATGTATAACTTGTAATAATACAATATGTGCCGGGTACTTGTGATATATGTACNAAGGATTAAACAACCTTTGTCATCGACTGAAGAAATCAATGTCCTTTATTCTTTTGATCCTTGATTTTATTAACACAACAATTACTATTGATCTGAGTGTGTTTCTTGTTACATTTTGAGGAAAATTTTTGTTTTTTTTTTTTGTTTTTGATCATATCTTAATGATGAAGGTTTTTATGATAATTTTACACAATGGTGATAAAAAAGAGTAAAAGCAAAGAAGATTGCTTAGAGTTAGGAGAAATTTTATAATTTTTTTGTAAATCTAATAATTTTTTCAATTGATGATTAAAAGACGTTGATGAACACGTAAGAAATTAATTTTATCGTTAAAATTTTTTCTCTTGACACTAAAATTTTTATTACTATTACTTCTGTTATTACTACCGGTATGCGCTAGAATTTTTACTGCACTCGTTACTACTGGTGTAGATAAATTTTTTACTTCTGTTACTTATGCTCTTGACGATTTTTTAATAATATTGCTTATTTTACTGCTGTGAATCTGCTACCGATATTAATTCTGTCATATAAAACTACTTTTCCGTTGAAAAATAATAGCAATTGTCAAGAATAGGGAATGACGAGGTGAAATTTTTTTTTTTAATGATCCATTCATGAATGAGCAACTAATTTGTACTTTTCTTTTGATTTTTAGAAGATTGGCGAAAATATCATTGAAAACTGATCCCCGAATTGTTGTTCACTGTCACGAATGGCAGGCAGGAGTTGGTTTGATCGCTTTGCGCACCCGACATATTAATGTTGCCACAGTCTTCACAACTCATGCTACGTTATTAGGTAGATATTTATGTGCGGGAAAAACTGATTTTTATAACAACTTAAGCAAGGTAAGGACATTTCAATATTTTTTATACTTCATAATAATAACATTGTTATAAAAATTTTAAAGTTACAATTTGTTCGTAATATTTTAAGTTGTACGTTATAATGCCGTTAACATCAATTAAGAGGAAATGACATGATTTCATACCAATCGAGAGAAGTATTGTCAAATATTCCTTGTAGTATCCATTAAAGTCAGATATAACTAGCTGATTTTAGACGAAACTTCAGGAAAATTGCTAACCTAGGCATATTATTTGTTTGATTGATTTAAATTTTGTCAGTGCCCTGTTGAATCCCGATTGATGAAATTAAAAAATGCACAGAATTTTTCTTCAATAACCCTTTTCTTACCTTTGATAAAATGTTGTACCAACAAGTTTTCAGAACGCCCATGGAATCTTGCATTTCACCTCTGTTCACTGACCTTGTAATGAATGACCTAAAACTGACTGTCTCTCCATTTTAAATAATATTTATAATATTAGTCCATTATTTTATTTTTGTAACATAGATAATGTTTGACTTTTTCTTAACGAGGACCATATTGACCAAATATTTAACATTTTTAATTCATGTCAACCCAATCTTCAACTTACACATAAATGAGAGATTGAAAATTTATTTAATTTTTTAGACTTGACGATAATTGAAAGTTAAAATAACCAGATTTTTGACTGGTTGAAAAAAACCTACTTCTTCTGGACGTGTCAAAAATTGTTTTTTTTGGTCATCTGGCAAGTTACAAAAAAAATTTTGTTTTCAATTAAGTTGACAGAACGGCTATATTTTTTAGTACACGATTTTACGGTGTGAATGTTGCTAGAGTAAAAAATGTTTTTGTAAATAATAATTACTCTTGGTGCTTTATCAACAAAAATATGGAAGTAAGATTAAAAACACATAAACTAAATAATCACAAACAAACTACCATAAATGCTCATCCTGTTGGCAAAATTGGTATACTATATGCAGAACATAATTTTGAAAAAATATCAACTATTTTTAAACCTAACATCATTCATACATTTCCTCTGATCAACACCAAACTAAATAATGTCGTCTGTTTAGGAAAAGATAAAACGAATAAACTTAAATAGACAAACATTGTTTATTTATTTTATTGTAAAATATGTCTACCGTTATATGTGGGTGAAACAAATCGAGCTGCAGAGGTCCACATTAGCGAACACATAAAGAACAAAAATTCTGATTCCGCTGTTTGCGCACATCTACCTATGTTGCTTTTTCTATATGAGCACTGTCGTATTATGAAGTTTATTATTAGTCTATCGCTCGACTTATGACGAGGAAGTCAAAATACTTATGAGTTCTAGCTTACCTACAGTAATACTATGTATCTTTAAAAAAATTTAAATACACCTTGTATTTATTAATTTGTTATACATCGTATCGACGAATCACTAATCACTTTTAATTTCTAAATTCATGGGAGGGTATTGACGAATTTGTAATAAGTCATTGATGTGAGTCTTACATCAGAGGGAGACTCAAACATCGACCCACACTTTTACCAAAACTTCTCAGAGAAATTTGGAGCTCACAGTTCTAACACCCTAAAATGTTGGGAGGACCTTTACATACAACTGTCAACTAGTATGGCACAATGAAGATTTCTACTTAAATGCAGATACATGGGGATATTACCGAACCACATAAAACACATCAATGATAATTGTAAAAACGGAAATTTCCATTGCATATCTATACATTTTGATTTTAACAAGCGTTCCTTATACTTTTGTCAGAAATTTCTAAACTGTGAAATCATCGACATGAATACAAACATCAGATTTTTGCGAAATTTAACTTTCTTTTGAAAGCTTAAATGGCCGCTTTTGAGTGGTCAGGAAAACGTTGCAACAACAAACCAGCGTATGAAAAATTTAAATACACCTCATACTTCTTCATTTCTAATATCTCGCTCATGATTACTTTCAATTTTTTAATTTATGGAAGGGCACTAATAAAATTTAAATCAGTCAAACAAATAATATACCCAGGTTAGCAATTTTCCTGATGTTTTGCCTAAAATAAGCTGATTCTATCTGACCATAGTGGATACTATAGGAGATCTTTGACAAGGCTTTGTCCATTATTAGTCGATTGAAATTTTACGATGGCCAATTGAAACAATTATTAGTATAAGGCATTGTAAATTATTAAGATATTTATTTATCTAGTTATCAAGTACACAAATATTTGCCCACTAACAATAAACTATAATAAGAAGAATTCAAGTACACCTTATATTCATTCATTTCTTATATCTTTTCCCCAATGGATCACTGATCTCTTTTAATTTCTTATTATTTGTTTCAGTAGACAATCGTATCAGAAGTAACATTTTGTTTAGACGCCAGTAAATGATCAGGCAGGTTTGTAAAAATGGCAAAAATCGTAAAAATTAGCTTTTTGCGTTTTGCACGAACAGCCAAACAGACACACCCAACAAAAAAGTAAAATATGCGTGATGAAATTTTAATTGAAGCAGTTTCTTAAACCCTGAGCAATGCACTAATTATCAAATGAGTCGCCAAACACTACGCTTTGTAGCCATTTAAAGAAAAACTCGTCACCTGCTTTCTGTTTAATATTACACCTTAAAACTGTTATATAATATGTGTTTCATAGGCCTTAACGCATGCACTCAATTTCAGATAAATTCAACCAGTCAGTCACACCTTTTCAGTTAAGCTGGCACTCTATGCGCATATAATGTAGCCTTTCTTTAAAGAATACTTAAATATTTCAGATTTTCTACTCCTTGCCAGTTAATTTAGCATTGTCTACCAAAGCATCAGATCCACGCTAATAAGCATTTACGGAGAAGCCCCATGGTTCAGGGATCACTGTTTGCTGGTAAGGCTAGCGCTCCATACATGATACGTAACATCGAATTTGCTAATTCTTACCTAAAGCCTAAACATTATTTCACATGGACCCAGTCCTGAAAGCCTGCCAAGTAAGGAAGAAATCCTGGAATCTTACTGAAAAAAAATTCGATAAAAACCTTCACGACACGGGGTTTTTGCGAAATGGTGAATCCAGAGAATTAGGCCTGGGTAATGCCAGGTATCTAATGGAGCTGTATGTCTTTTTTATATTACATCCAAAGTTAATACAGACGAATCATGTTATAAGTAAAAACGCAATTCATCTAGAATTGAGAAATACAATCTTCACCTACATCCCTTACCGAATGTCATGATGGCAGTTACCTCAAAATTCAATCTCTCCTACAATTGTAAACGAATAAATCGATAAAACAATGAACGAATTTATTGCAAACGGAAACTCCATAAGAGCAAAATCTCCAATTAAACCACACAGGAATGGTTCTACCAAAAATAAATTACAAAGATCTAATGATAAACTATACAGAAGAACTTTGTCACCTACTGAACGAAATAGTAGTGAAGAAAAAGACAACAACCTATTTCAATCGAAAAATGTAAAAAATAAAACTGATAACGATACTAACAAAATTTCCAATCAAAATATTTTACTGCAAGCAAACCACACAGCAGCGTTAGAACCCATAAAGCAAAATTAGAACTCGGCTCGTAGTAAAAAAGTAACAAGAAACATAAGTCTTGTTGGAAATCCATCATATATAACATATAAAGGAAATAAATAAACATTTTTAAGTACTCGCGAAAATTCAACTCACAACAAATATAATTGCACCTATTTTATCTCTAAAACTGTAGATTTAAAATTAATAAACAATAAACTTTTTTTGTGAAATAGAAGCTATTTGAAAAGAGCAATTATTATATGTTTAACCAAGATTGAGAGACGTTATCACTACGAAAAACCGAAATCGCTACATACTTTTACTAGTCGTGAACAAAAATTTTACTGACGATATAAAACTTAACATTTTACGAACCTGCTCTACTAATCTTGCATACGCTATACCAGTGAAGGAAGTTAACAATGCTCGTATTTCTAGGAAAGGTGAGCTCACTGATTATCTTTCTAGAGGAAAAATGCTATAAATTTGATATGAAGAATTACGTTACCTTCTCCATACAGTAGAAATTTATTTTGGAGCATGTTCTTATCTAACTCTAGAAGACAGAAAGGAAAAATTAGGTGAATGTCATAATAGCTTATTTAGAAGTCATATAAGTCTAGCAAAAACTTAGCATCAGAAGTATTTTACAAAGTCGCAATATATACAGTAGGCCGTTTTCCACAAAAAATATCTGTAAATAAGCACATTTTAACAATGCAATGCTTACTTACGTAATTTTTTATTGCAGTTCCTGTTTCTCATATACAGACAATAACTGTTACCGATGTTTTGTCAAAATATTTTATTTTAACTTTTGATATTCCGAGAATTATTCTCTGACATTCTAAAATTTATGGGTTCCGCTTAGCTCTTACTAGTGTACATCACCTAAAACCAATGAAATCATTAAAAAGAAGTCACAATATGTTAAAAAATTTTTTGAGAACTAACGCTAAAAACAAAAATGACTAGGATAAAATGGTTCCCTTTGAAATGCATCGGTACAACACGTCAGTTCATTCAGCAACAAACCTTACACTTTTTGAACTTGTCTTTGGTAGATAGGCACGTCCTCGAAATCCACTTTCAGACAAATTCCAACTAGAAACACACAGCTCATATGCTAGTTGCTTTGCCCGCTGTTGACGTACAATCTAAGAAATAGCTCATGATTAACTTAAAATATCAAAGCAAAATATTAAATCACGTTATGACAAAAGTGGAAGCCACAAGACTTAGAAGTTGGAAAAATAGTAAATGTGCTCAAAGAACCCTGGAAAGGAGAATAAGATAGATTGTATAACGAAATTTTCAAAATTAAAGAAATACATGATAATAATTACGTCATATTAAAATCAGGAAATCAAACACTGATAAACGAACATATTGAAAAAGTAAAACGCGGCTACTTATAAAATTAAAAAAATAAAGAATAAATAAAAAAGTAAAAAAAACGAATAA